TTTTTTTTTTTTTTTTTTTTTTTTTTTTTTTCTATATTTGTGTTTGGGGTTTTATCTTTTTTGGTTTTGGGTTTTGTCTTGCTTCTGGGGCTTATGGTGAATTTCAGGGTTTAAGGACTTGGGTTTGATATGGGTGTTTTTTTGGTTTATTATTATTATTTTTTTGTGTAACTCTATTGCATTGAGTTGAAAGTTATTTTCTTGGCTAACGTTAATTGCATATGCTTGAGATATAGAAGCCATGTAATATTGTATTTTAGCATTGGGTAGCCACTAACTGAATGTTCTGAGGGTTCGATGGTATTCTGTGTATAACAGTACAATCCTTTGTATTATCCAATTTTGGTTTTTATTTTTTATTTTTTATTTTTTAAGTTCCACTTAGTTTATTTGCTGCATATGGAAAGCTTTTGATTTAATTTATGACATTCTGGAAATGTAACCATGTTGATGCATATCACTTGTTGAGATTGATATTAACAGCATTTAATGTTTATTACAGAGTCATTCCGAACCGTAAGCTTCACCCTGGAGCATATAGGCTTTATATGGAGCTCCTTAAGAGACATGCTCTTTCATTAATGTCACAGATCAGTGGGCAAAACTGTGAAAAGTAAGGTTCAGTTTCTTTTTTTTTTTGGGGGCAGAATTAGTTTGCTGATTACATTCTTTTCCTTGTAGACGACATTCAATTAGACCTCTCATATTTGCATTGTATAACATATTAAAGATCTCGTCCTAGATGCATTAGATGTCTTTTTTGGTTTATATCTTTTTAGGCTGTTAAACTTGGCTTCAAAGCTAACAGTGAAGATTGTTCAATTAATGCTCTGGATCAGGCCACTTATTCAGGTGCAAAGGCCTAACTTATTGGTCTGATTTGATAGGAAAAGGATTGTGAGCTCTCTTAAATCCATCATTATATGATTATTTTTCACAAGTTCCCTTTTTTCTTATGATAACAAAGAAGGCAGAAACTTTATGTTTATTCTTCAAGTTGGTATGTCTTGGTGCCTCAGCTCACATAGCTTTCCATAATCTCTCTTGTTCTCCTTACAAATTTAATAAAAGGAAAAACTTTCCAATGCATTGATCCTAAAAGGACTTTTGTAACTTTTCTGATTAGTAGTGTCATATTTGTTATTGTTGTAGATTCTTATCTATACACTAGTTTAATAATTATTTACATAATTTTCTTGTATAATGACAGGATCATGAAATCAACGGACGATGTTCTTCAACTTTCCAATATATTTGGCCTTCAAGTTTGTGAACCTGGTCTAGTTCTAGTTGGATTTGTTTTTTCTGTTGTATGGCAGTTACTTGATGCCTCATTGGATGATGAAGGGCTGCTGGAACTTACTCCAGAAAAGAAGTCTATGTGGTTATCTGTATCTCAAGATATGGAAATAGACAATCCTAACAGCTCTGGTGAAAAGAGAACTGAGCAACATGAGCGGCTGTGCAAAGTAAATACCACTATGGCTATAGAGATAATTGGAGAGTTCCTACAGGACAAATTAACTTCAAGGATTCTTTACTTGGCACGTCGAAACATGTAAGAAATTATTTCTTGTTCCTTAGCTTCTTATTGCTCATGAGTTTCAATGCTAGTCATGCCCTTTTAGTCAGAGAGAAGTGAAAAATTTGCCATTCATGGAACTTTGAAACATATACAATTTAAAATTTTGAAATTGAATTAGGTGTAGCTGACACACGTACCACATTACTCTTCTTTAGGCCACCACATTGGGGAGTTTTCATTCAGAGACTGAGATTGCTTGCTGCAAAGTCAGGGGCATTGCGAAATTCAAAACAAATAACTTCTGAAGTCCTTCTACAATTGACATCTGATACACGTAGAGTTTTGTCTATAAAATGTAAAACAATATCACAGCAAGAGTGTCATGCGGTCATAAATTCTGGATCTCTAATGTCTTCTTCTCGAGAATGCCATGGAGCTACTCGTTCTGCACTTTGGCTTCCTATTGATCTGTTTCTGGAAGATGCAATGGATGGTTCACAGGTTGCAGCAACTGGTGCTGCTGATGTTCTTACTGGTACAATCAAATTTTATGCTATGATACTTAGTCCATCTCTTTATTTGAAGCTGAAAAGAACCCAGGTAATCTAATCAAATTAATGAGGATGACATCAATCTTGCAGGTTTGGTAAAGGCTTTGCAAGCAGTTAACAGCACCACATGGTGTGATGCATTTCTGGGCCTATGGATTACGGCTTTACGGCTTGTCCAGAGGGTAGAAATTCATCCACAACTGAGCCATTATTTACATGAATAATTGACCTCTCCTTTTTATATTTTGGTTTTCTCATCAAGAAGAAATTTCATCTTGAGTATGTAGATAGCAGCTAGAAGAAATTCTTCAGTGTCTTTTTGTATGCAGTCTTGCATTTATTGGGCCTGAGTGTGCATTTTGAAATATGTCTCTGTGAGTGCATGCATGTATGTGGCTTCAAAAATTTTTCTTTAAAATCAACTGTGAGTCTGATTCTGTGTTTAGGTATTGTATATGTTTGGCGGAACTTACCATAATTTATTTGCAACATGTGGAAAATTTGAGGAGAAAAGACTAGCCTGATAAGTCAGAGTGCTCTTTTCTAAGTGGAACTTGAAGAAATGGGTGTTTAGAAATGACAAGTTGACTGGATTAGCGAGGAAGTTTTGCAAAAGGGATGGTTAGATACATTTGGTTTTTAGTTATTGGGATATTTCTAGAAAAGCATATGCTGTTTAATCTAAAAGGTTGTTTGTGTTCTATTTCAAGGAATTCACTATGATTGCCTCTTTTTTGTCTTTCTTAGGAAAGGGACTCCAGTGAGGGTCCTGTGCCTCGTCTTGACACTTGCTTGTGCATGTTGTTGTCTATTACAACACTTGCAGTGGCCAATATTATTGAAGAAGAGGAAGGTGAGTTCCTTGATGATAATGAAAGCAGCCCAACTAATCAAAGGAAAGAGCTACGAGCCCCAAGAAAATGTCGTAAGGGTTTAGTTTCCAGCTTACAGATGTTGGGTGATTATGATGCTCTGTTGGCTCCGCCTCAAGCTGTCCGTTCAGTAGCAAACCAGGCTGCTGCAAAAGCAATCATGCTCATTTCTGGCCTTACGGTTGGTAATGGATATTCTGAAAGCATTAGTATGAATGACATGCCTTTGAACTGTTGTAAGTACTGGTTTTCTTTGGCATCACATTTTGACAAAATGCAAGTTTTCCTCTAAGAGTTAATGATGCTAATTGAATTTTGGGAATATGATTATTTATTGGCCTGCAATTTGTCGATTGAGTCATTTGGTTGAACAAAACTACTAGTTAGGATTTTATTCTTTTAGTAGATTTGGGAGGCTGGTGGGTTGGGCTGATTTGAACCTTGGACTCTTCCCATATAATATTACTGGTTACCCTTTTTTCATGTTTCACTATATCAGTTTGGTCAAACATGACTAAACAACTTTGGTATGAGATTTTTTCACTTTGAACAAGTTTCATTTCAAAGTGAATTTTCAATGTTTTTGCTGTATGGTTCTATCAATTTCCTTCCAAATTTAGCTACTCTAGCAAAAGCCTTTTACCTGTTTTGCAGTTGTGCCTTGGCTCTTGTCTATTTGGTTTATTCATTGTCCTCATTTTCTTGCAGCTGGAAACATGCGACATCTAATTGTTGAGGCTTGTATTGCTAGAAATCTGCTAGACACATCGGCATATCTATGGCCAGGCTATGTGAACACACGTGGTAACATGCCCCGTAGTCCTCCTAGCCAAATGCCTGGTTGGTCATCATTGATGAAGGGATCCCCTCTAACTCCATCATTGACAAGTACTCTGGTTGCAACTCCAGCTTCTAGGTATGCTTCTATAACCTTGTAGATCTTTTATTTCTCCTCCTGATGTACATTGGATGGGACTGAAGATCTCAACAATAAAGTTTGAACCTTACCCACCCCTATAAGATGTCTCTAATCACCTCATTTGTGCCCAAGCTATGACCATCAAATTTGCAGAATAACTGGTTGTTAAATCTTCTATGATTTTTTAGTATCTGGAAGGAAAAGATTCTGGATGTATAAGTCTTTTTTTTTTCCTCGTTACCTATCATTTCCATCCTCTCTAGTGGGAGCGAGAAAAAAGGCCAAGCCATTAACTATAGTATCCCATATTTTTCTGGTTCTGACCTGGCCTTCAGTTACATCATTCTTTTTCCTGAAGCCAGGTATATCAGATGCACCTTTTTTTTTGGTAAATTTACCCAGTAGGAAAGCAACTGAATTTATACTCATGGATTTTATGGAAGCTTAGTAGAGATCGAGAAAATATATGAGATTGCAATCAATGGTTCAGATGAGGAGAAAATAGCTGCTGCAACTGTTCTTTGTGGGGCATCTTTAGTTCGTGGTTGGAGTATACAGGTAAGTGACAGAAGTCAACTTGTTCCAATATGCCTTATATTCTTGTTGTACATGCTATTTTTTTCTTTTAAATATTTTGTAGCTCCTACCAGCTTGATTCTGTTTCAATTTGTTATCTTTTCTTTGCAGGAACACACTGTTCTTTTCATTGTAAGGTTGTTGTCACCTCCAGTTCCTGCAGATTATTCTGGAACTGATAGCCACTTAATTCAATTTGCTCCATTCCTGAATGTTCTTCTTGTTGGAATATCCCCTGTAGACTGTGTACAGATTTTGTCTTTGCATGGCTTGGTAGGTTTTATTTTCAAGAACCATATTTTTTTCTTCAGACTTCATAATATTCATTTAAGTGTTAGACACGTTTGAGAGTTGCATTAATCAGAAAAATGGGAAAAGGCAAGGGTGCAAGTTTATCAGCAGGTTAGCTGAAAAGATCCTCCAAAGAGTCCCATTAAATGAAGTGTCCAAATTTTTGTAGTAAACCAGGAGTATTTTCCTGTTTAACTTCTATGTAATTTTAGACCAATGAGAAATGGGACAACTGTTCATTTCTAAATAGATGCACCATTAAAGTTTGGCTAACTAATTACAAATTAATTTCTGCATGGATGGAGTCCATTAAGTTGCATTAACTAGTCAATAATGCCTGATTGCATGTACCTATGTAAACCTAGTCAGTGAAACCTAATGCAGAAACTTAACTAAACAAAGAGAGAGAACATTAAGAGGCAGTCCATTGAAAAGATTGGAAAAATCCTAATGTTGTCCATGCGTGATGTCTGATATTTTTGACAGGTTCCACTACTTGCTGGTGCATTAATGCCCATCTGTGAAGTTTTTGGGTCTTGTGTTCCAAATGTTTCGTTGACTCTTCCAACAGGGGAAGAACTCTCATGTCATGCAGTGTTCTCTAATGCATTTACTCTTCTACTAAAATTGTGGAGGTTTAATCACCCACGTATTGAACATGTTAAGGGAGATGTGACACCAGTTGGCTCTCAACTATGTCCTGAATATCTTTTGGTGGTTCGAAACAATCAACTAGCATCTTTTGGAAAATTGCCAAGGGATCGCTTAAAATGCCAGAGACTGTCACAGACTTTAGATTTCTCTTTAGATCCCATAGTTTTGGACTCTTTTCCCAAGTTAAAACGCTGGTATCGGCAACATCAAGAATGCATTGCCTCCACGCTCTCTGGGCTTGAACAAGGGACGACTGTTCATCAGATTGTTGATGCACTCCTTCATATGATGTTCAGAAAGATAAACAAGGCTGGCCAATCCTTTACTGCTACAACGTCTGGAAGTAGTAATTCATCTGCATCTGGAGCGGAGGATGTCTTTATCAGGCTGAAAGTGCCTGCATGGGATATCCTGGAAGCAGCTCCCTTTGCACTTGATGCGGCTCTAGCAGCATGTGGTCATGGAAAACTCTCTCCCCGTGAATTGGCTACAGGTTTGTGCAGTTTTTCCTTTTAAAGCTTAAATGTTTTTCCAAATTGGGCAGGCACACTGAATCTGAATTATGCTTGTTTCCAGTTTTGGGGCAAACATAATTTTTGTACATTGAGCTTTTATTTCTTTCTTTCCCTTTTTTTATTTTTTATTTTTTTGTTTTTTATCTTTTATTTTAAAAAAGAAAGGGTTGCACAATGGGATCTAATCCTAATAAAACTAGGAAACTAATAATAATTTAAAATAACACTTGAATAATGATAATTACATAAGAATCCTAAATAATCTAAATAACTATTCAATAGCTGCTTCTTGTTCCTCGTCAGGATGACACTTAATTTTGCCTGTATTATTCAGGACTCAAAGATCTTGCTGATTTTCTCCCGCCAACTCTGGCAACCATTGTCAGCTACTTTTCTGCTGAAGTAACACGGGGTATATGGAAGCCGGCTTTCATGAATGGTACTGATTGGCCAAGCCCTGCTGCGTATCTATCCACTGTTGAGCAGCAAATCAAGAAAATTATAGCTGCCACTGGTGTTGATGTCCCCAGCCTTGCAGTTGGTATTTACTTTGCATTTTTCTCTTTTTCTTTTTCTATCTCTAAATATATATTGGTTTTGGACAAGCAAATGATTTATCAATAAACTGCC